AGGTTCCTATGCATGGTGCGATTTGGGGTGGAGTCTACCTGATTCGGTTTGAGGCTAATTACACAGATAGTACATTGCAACCTGTCGTGTGGGGATTTTATGTTTTCAGATGTCCTCTGTTGGAATGTTCCTCTAGTTCAGCAAGTTTTTACAGCTAGTGATGCTCAAGAGATTCTTCAGTGTACTATCTCCCCCATTGATTCGGATGTTCTTATTTGGAGTGGCCATTCATCAGGTACTTACATTGTTCTTTCTGGATAGAGATGACTTGTTCGTCGTCAGACACCAACAATTCAAGCATCCAGGATGTGGCTATTTCTTTCGAGATTACATACGCTTCCTCAGGTTTGTATGTTTGGATGGCGTGCTGCTCATGAGTCTCGAACACGTCGGTGCTATTGGAGTTCAATGTTCCTTATGTGGTTCTCCAGGGGAAACAGTTTTCTATGCTTTGCGGGATTGCTTGATGATCTCTCCAATCTTGGCAGTGGCAGGATTCATCCGAGCGTCAGATATTATGAGCTTCTCATCTCTTGGTGCATGGTTAGAGAATATGATGCTCAACTTGACTGTTCATCGATTCATTGCACTTTTTGTACTGATCTGGAAGATATGGCATCGTCAGAATTTTTTTTTCCATGAAGGACAAATGTTACCAGGTTGGAAACTGACCGTTACGGTAAATGCTCTTCAATCGGCTTTCTCCTCTGCTATGGCTACATCATCCCGTGGGTACATTCAAGATTGATGGGGCATGTCCTTGTCCTCATGTGTCCACAGCTGTAGGAGTTATTGTCCGTGACGGTGCTAATTTAGTTATGGCGGGTCAAACTATCCCAGTCTTGGAGATACGCACAGCCGGAATCATTGAAGCTTGGCACTTATTCGGGGAATTCAGCTAGCTAGGGTGTTCAAATTTTCGAACTAATTCGGTTAACAGGCCGAACCAAATTAGTTCGAAAATTCGGTCAGTACCGAATTAGTTCGGTCGGTTAACGGTTAAGAAAATTTTTAAAATTCGATTAACGGTTAATTCGGTTTGAAATCGGTTAATTAACCGAATTAACCGAAATTAAATATTAAATATATTATATATAACATATAGGCTCAGTCCAGACCATTTAAAACTCAATTAATAATTTAAGATCCAATAAATTTTAAACCTAAATCAATATTAATTAATTAAAAAATTTATATAAAATTTTTATTTTATAATTTTATATTATTTAAATTAATTGTAAACTGTTTTTTTAAATTAAAAATATTATATATAACATATGGGCTCAGCTCAAACCATTTAAAACCCTATTAATAATTTAAGATCTAATAACTTTTAAATCTAAATCAATATTAATTAATTAAAAAATTTATATAAAATTTTTTATTTTATAATTATATATTATTTAAATTAATTAGAAACTGTTTTTTTGAATTAAAAAATATTTAATTTTTATATAAATTAGAAAATTTTAAAATTTTTTGGTTAATTCGAAAATTAATTGAATTAACCGAAATTTATTCGGTTTGGTTAATATTTTCAAAAAAAATTCGGTTCGATTAACGGTTAAAAGAAAAAAAAATCGATTAATTCGATTAATGGTAATTCAGTTCGGTTGGCCACCGAATTAACCGAATGAACAACCCTACAACTAGCGGTGGAACTAGAGCTTTCATCTACCGTGATTGAAAGCGGTTCAATGAATGTAGTGCAACAACTTCAAAATCCAGCCAACGACCGATCTGCTCTCCGGTTCTACCTTCTTGAAGCTCGAAAGCTATTGGATGCTCATCCTCACATCTCAGCTCGGTTTATCAGGCGAGAGGCCAACGGTGCAACACATGCTCTCGCAAATTACGCCGCAACGTCAACCATACCTCTATTTTAATTCTGTAATTCCGAACTGGATTAAAGCTATTGTACATGCTGACTCTATTTTTTCTTAAATGAATGCCGGTTATTTTAAAATATATATATATGTTAAAATAAATAAAAACATTTTTTTGATAAAAAGTTATTAATGGTTAAACAATAGGCTTAATATAAAAATAAGTGTCTAAATTACACTTAAGATTAACTTTTAGTGCCTAAATTTTTTTTTCACTAAAAATAGGTGCATAAAGTTTCCTCTATTGTATTTTTAAGTGTCTATCGTTAAGCGACACATTTCACTTCTATATTTTTTTTAAAAATTGGACGTGATACGTCTTGCTTAACGGTTTTTTAACAATAGACACTTAAAAATGTAACGGATAAAACTTTAAATACCTATTTTTAACGAAAAAATTTTTAGACATTAAAACGTTTTTCGAGACCTTCTTTATATACTTATTTTTGTATTAAGCCTAAACAATAATACATAAGATCATAATAATAGTCTAAGATAACAAAAGTTAATCGGGTAAACTGCTTCAGATCAGCTGTCACGCAACTTTAAGATAGTTATCAATTTAATCGTTCAAAACAATTATTCTGATGAAGTCATTTCTAACCTCTCTGACTTGGTCACTTGAATAAATTCTGAAACCAAATCAAACACCACAAATAGTATCCTCAACGCATAACCACTGAATGTTTTAATCAATGGATAAAAGTAAATAAAGAGTTTTTAGGATTAGTGAGATGAGACATTAAATCTCTTAAGTAAGGTCATAAGTTTAAATCACGGCGATTGTAAATCGAACAAACTGCGCTGAGAGAATCGTCCTTACCTATGTAGTACCTGATCCAAAATAATCGATTAATATATCGAATACCGATGATTATATATAAAAAAATTAGTGACTATCGAAATAGTTACCTATAGAAAAAGAAACCCAAATCCCAGCAGATTTCTTCCTTGTTTGATGCCTACTCTACTCCTTTCTTTTCACCCCTTTGTTTGGTTCGTACTTCACGATACCGTTTGAGTTGAGCTGGGAACTTGGGTTTGAGTATTTTGGATTTTGTAATGGTACATCTCTCCCGCAAATTCACTACAATACCCATAAATTTTATCCCGATACAGTTCTTAAAATACCAGCAGCATCAAATCCATGCACGTATTCTTCGTAAAGGCCTTGAACAGTGCTGCTATATTATCACCAAACTCGTACGAAGCCTCATCAAAATAGAAATCCCCGTGGATAGTTATGCTAAGCTTGTTTTTAATCAGGTTAAGTATCCAAACCCATTTCTTTGGACTGCTCTTATTCGTGGATATTGTTTACAAGGGCTTGTTAGGGAATCGGTTTTTGTGTATACTAGTATGAGAAAGGAGAATACTTTGCCCGTTTCTTTCACATTTTCGGCTCTTTTTAAGACTTACAGTACGGTTCTTGATGTGAAGTTGGGCAGGCAAATCCATACTCAGACCATCTTGATTGGTGGTTTCGATTATGATTTATATGTCAAAAATAGCTTGATTGAAATGCATGTTAAATTAGGAATTTTAGAGTGTGGGAGGAAGGTGTTTGATGAAATTGCATGAAAGAGATTTGATTTCTTGGACAGAGTTAATTGTTGCATATGCGAAGGATATGGAATCTGCAGGGGAGTTGTTTGATCAGTTGCCTCTGAAGAATATGGTGGCATGGACTGCTATGGTCACAGGATATGCTCAGAATGCTAACCCTAGAGTGGCATTGGAGTTGTTTGAGAGAATGCAAAACGAAGGAGTGAAAACAGATGAGGTTACATTGGTTGGAGTTATATCTGCTTGTGCACAACTTGGTGCTGCAAAGTACTCAAAATGGATTCGGGATATTGTTGAAAATTTGGGGACTGATCCTACTCGTTGTGTTGTGGTGGGGTCGGCTTTGATTGATATGTATTCGAAGTGTGGAAATGTTGAGGATGCATATAAGTTTTTTGAGGCAATGGAAGAAAGGAATGTGTATTCGTATAGTTCGATGATTTCAGGGTTTGCTATGCATGGTTGTGCATATGCGGCATTGGAATTGTTTCGTGAAATGGTGAATATGGGTTCAAACCTAACAGAGTTACATTTATTGCGGTGCTTACAGCACGTAGCCATTCAGGAATGGTAGAGCAAGGTCGCCAAATTTTTGCATCCATGGAGGAGAAATTTCAAATTTCTCCTGGAGTTGATCATTATGCTTGCATGGTGGATCTTCTTGGTTGAGCTGGACTCCTGGAAGACGCACTTAAACTTGTAGAATCTATGCCAATTGAGCCTAATGGGGGTGTTTGGGGGGCATTGCTTGGATCATGCCGCACTTATTGTAATCCGGACATCGCCCAATTTGCTGCAAACCATTTATTTGAGCTGGAACCTAATGCAATTGGAAACTACATCTTGCTCTCTAACATATAGCGATGGAATGATGTTTCAATGGTGAAGAAACTGATGAGAGAGGAAGGTCTCAGAAAAAATCCTGGATGTAGTTGGATGGAAGGGAAGAAGGGTGTCATTGAGGAGTTCTTTGCCAGGGACATGACCCACCCAAGGTCTGGTGAGATGAAGCAGGTGCTTGAGCATCTTCGAAATCGGTTAAAAGCTATCGGGTACGAACCAAACATGAATTCTGTCGCTTATGATGTGAATGATGAAGAAAAGAGACGGATACTAATCATTCATAGCGAGAAACTAGCTCTGGCATTTGGGCTACTCGGTATAAATGCTGATTGCCTCGTTAGGTTTATGAGGAATATAATAATATGTGAAGATTGGCACTCATTTATGTGTGGCGTATCTCAAGTCACAGGGAGGGTAATTATTGTAAGGGATAACTTGAGATTCACTATTTCCATGATGGAAAGTGCTCCTTTGGTAACTTTTGGTGATTCAGTACCACGAGTCCATATATCTTAAACACAAAGAATTAGTGACTTTCTTTTGTATTCTATCAATATTTCTTACTAAGCTAATTTCTCAATTGAGATGCATTTTCTTTACAGTGAAAGACAATTCTGTTTTGAAAATTTAATGGGAATATTGGGATACAAAAATAAAATTGCAACTATAGGAAATGTAATTATGTTAAAATAACATAGAAGGTTATACATAACAGGCAATTTAATTTTTATTGTATTCTCCATTGTTTTCTATGCTAAGTCCCTTGGATTGAAGATAATACCATAAATATCTACAAATTACACTGCCAGAGTCTGCCACAAAGAACCCAAACTAAAAAACAAGTGTCAAAGGTAAACAAAAAACCCAGGGCATTATAACTCTCAATAGTGTTCTTCTAGGTCAAACAATAATGCTGGTTCTAAAAGCAAATCAACATCTAAGCATTTGCATATGCAATCTCAGGGTGGTAGTGAAGCATCTCAATCCACACCATCTCTCTAATCATTTGTTCTCCCATGTTCTCATCTACGTTGAGGTCGATCGGTACTTGTGCAGGTGGATTGGACCTTGGCTCATATAACCCCGACATATAGGGATGTAGGAGTGCTTCTGTGACGGTAATTCTCTTAGATGGATCGAAAACTAGCATCCTTTGCAACAAATCTATGGCTAATGGATCGGCTTGAGGGTATAGGTGAGAAAAATGGGTTCTCCTAGAGTAAGGAAGTGACTTGATATACCTTCTGGCTTTCGGGTTATCGATAAATGCAAGATCAGCCTCTTGCTGGCTTCCAAGGACATTGATAATTAGCTTAAGCTGGTTGAGGCATTCTGTCCCAGGGAAGATGGGTTTCCGACCAAGAATCTCGGCAAAGATGCACCCGACCGACCAAACATCAATGAAGGTGCTGTAATTATCACAACAGAGTAGGAGCTCCGGAGCCCGGTACCAGCGGGTGACAACATACTCCGTCATGAATTGTTCATTGCCTCTACTGGTTCGTGCCAGCCCAAAATCACATATCTTTAGGTCACAGTTAGCATTGACAAGGAGGTTCCCAGGCTTCAAGTCTCGATGAAGGATGTTCGCCGAGTGCAGGTACTTCAGCCCTCGTAGTAACTAAAACATCTACTTAAAGGTTAGAAACAGATAAAGTACTCAAATTAATACCGTTCCAAACCTTCTAGAGCAGAGGAAAACAGTGGATATTTACTGTCATTACTTACAGTCTACACTAGACAGTCGAGAAGATAATTATTTTTAATGAAGCAATTATGTCGACAACCAGGAAAAATGCTGTAAGGGAGGATGTAACACTGCATACTAGTCTGGCCTTTATGATTCTCAACAAACCAGAACTGAATCATTCACCTTCTATGTCATTTGGACTCGGCATCGTGTTAGCTACTGGGTACATATATGACATGGGAATATGCTCAAATTTCTTTCTAAAGCTTTTCTATGTACTCCTAGGATCATACTTCCACAACTCATAGCCTTTCTTTTTCAGCTGAACTAAATGCAAAATGGGACCAGATGAGCACGAAAATCATCAATGCCCCAAAGCTAAAGGATGCACAGAAATTAACTATCCAAGGACAAGCTATTAACACTAACTAAACATTTAATTACAGTCTAAAGTCCCTACAAAGGGGATATCAAACAACAAAATTGTAAAATGAAACTCACAGATACTTAATGTGCATCTAAATCCAAAATTACCATCTAGAATTGGTGAATGTTTAAAAACACCGAAATTACCAACAAAGATAATATATTTGGCAGTACCTGGAAAATGAAATACTTGTAGTGATCATTGGAAAGAGGCTGATGGGACTTGATAATCTGATGCAAATCGGTGTCCATTAGCTCATAAACCAAATAAACATCATTGAAACTGGTTCTGTGAGTAGGCATCATTACATATTTCAAAGCAATCACGTTCTCGTGTAGGATATGTCTGAGAAGTTTCAGTTCCCTCAAAGTTCTCAAAGCATCGACACGGTTCTCAAACACATTGTGGATCTTCTTTATGGCCACTTTCTCGTTGGTTTCCCTGTTGATGGGGGAGCAAACGATGCCGTATGCTCCTCTCCCTATAGGCATGATTGGAACATATTTCGTGTCAATCTCGAAAAGGGTTTGCCACATTGAATAGTAATGCTTCCCCCTTGGCTTCACCCCATTTGATGGCTCCACAAGAGTCGCCATTTTTGTTTCTCTGTGGAAATTTCTACAAAGGTGAGAATCATTACCAGAAAATTAGAAAAAGAAAACAAAAGATATAAAAAGGGGTTTTGGAATCAATTCTTACTTGCCGCTTCTACTTGTTAGCTTTGATCTTTTGAATAAGTTTCTTCACTTTTTGATACCCTTTTCTTGAATCTATCAGCAAACTCCAAATTCACTAACTTTCAAATCATGCAACTGTAAAATCCCAAAAACCCCGACTTTTTTCGTACCCTTTTCTTCAACCTTTAAACCAACTCCAAATTCACAAATTCAAAGTCAATCCACTGTAAAAAGAAAAGAAATCCCCTTTATTGAACTTGCAAAAACAAAACATGGGAGACAGAGAAAGAACTAATTTGATCTTAATTCAAAGTTTCCGATGTGAGCAAAGAGACAAGAGAAAGAGAAGATATCATGACAGCATGTAAAGAAGACGTGATGCGAACACGGCACTTTCCTTGAGTAATAAAACGACAACTTCGTACTGTTTTAGTCTTTGGGGTTTTAAGAAAAACTCTCTCTCTCTCGCTTCATGCACAAACAATCTTGCGCCTTTTTCTTTCTGTTTTTTACTTGAACATGTAATTTTACAGCTTGGCTTGCTTAAGCTTTTGCACCCCCACACAAACTTAAAACTTGAAAGTTTCCCTAATTTTGCACAAATTTTTATCTAAATAATTTTACCCATTTTAATAATTAAAAATTAACTGATAATTTTATTTATTTGCATGAATTTTTTTATAGAATAGGTTATAGTTAAGTATTTGATTTTATAAATATTTGTAGTATAGGTTTCTTATAATCAAATATTTAATTCTATAAATATATAAAATATACATTCTTTAGTAATTAATCATTTCACTTTATTTTTTATACAAAAAAGTCTATGTCAGGGTGGCTCCTATGGATAGGGATGTTCAAACGATTAATTTGGCCACTAATCGAATCAAATTATCATTAACCGAACTAATCGAACTTTTTTCTTTAACCGTTAATCGAACCGAACCTTTCTTTAAAAATATTAACCGAATTGAACAAAGTTCGGTTATTTTGGTAGGTTAACTGAATTAACTGAAATTTTTTAATATTTTTTTATAATTAGATTAATTTAAATATAATATATGTACTTTTTTATTTGAGTTACAAATTAATTAGATATTGATAATTTAATGAATCTAGTGTGATTAAAGAGTAATTGGGTATTAATTTTTGATGGGTTTGAGCTTAAAATAGGTTTATATTATATATAATAAATATAATATTTAATAATTTCAGTTAGTTCGGTTAATTAACCGAATTAACCGTTAACTGAATATTGAAAAAATTAATTGTTCCCCGACTGAACTAATTCTGTGACCGACCGAATTAACTGAATTAATTCGATTCGGTTGGTTAATTCGGTTAAAGCTGAATAGTGAACACCTCTACCTAAGGGTGTTCAAATCTGGGTATATGGGTTTTCGGGTACCCGGGTCTTCGGGTAGTTGATTGGTCAGCCCGTGTCTCGACTCGGATGTTGCAGGTACTCGGGTACCTAATTTTTTTATCATTTTCAAATTATTAATTAAAAAATATACGTAAATTTAAATGTTCGAATTACATACTCCAACATACAAACATAAAATTTAAAAATGGTTTTTTTGTGGGAGTTTTTTTTAAAATTTTATTAGTTTAATTTAATATATAGAATTATTAATAATTAAATATGTAATATTATTATATATAAAAATAAATATAATTGGGTACTCGAAACTAATTTAATTTTGTGACCCGGGTCCGACCTTAGAAATGTCGAGTCGGGTACCCGACCCAGAACTTGAATTATTTTTAAAAATACCTGGATTTTTTTTATATAAATTTTGGTATGATTTCTGATTCCAAGTAAGCTATTGAGAATTTAGATGTTTAGAAGTACTAAAGTGAAATAAGTTGGTTTGTAAGAGTATAAATGAGTTTAAAAGCTTTAAAGAAGTGTTAGATGAGAAAGTTAGCAAAGTTTGGATAAATTTGGTATGATTTCTGATTCCAAGTAAGCTATTGAGAATTTAGATGTTTAGAAGTACTAAAGTGAAATAAGTTGGTTTGTAAGAGTATAAATGAGTTTAAAAGCTTTAAAGAAGTGTTAAATGAGAAAGTTAGCAAAGTTTGGATAAATTTTCGGGTTAAATGAGTTATATCTGGGCTAGGGGTATCGGTACTGTATGAATAGTATCGATACTTCAAAGAGAAAATGAGTGATATTTGGGGTATGAGTATCGATATTGATTGAACAGTATTGATACCATAAGCCAAAAGTTGATAAATTGTTCAAGGAGTACCGATACCGAAGGGGTAGTATCAATACTATTTTAAAAATGGAATTTTAGAACCGGGAAAGGGTATCGATATTGAAGCACAATATCGATACCACATTAAAGGAAGTATCGGTACTGTACCTTGGATACTGATACTACTCAAAGTGAAAATGTGAATTAAGTACCTCTTTTAGCTTAGGTTGTTGATGATCGATTTATAATGTTTAGAATTCTGATATTCGCATCGAATTTACATTTATGTATATATCAAACATAAGCAAGTTCTGGAACAGTCAAATAGTTAAGATCGATCGAGAGAGAGATAAAGAGTTATAGGAGTTGATTGGACTAAGTGAGGCTAAGGTGAGTGCATATTACTATGACATATGACTATATGGAAAATAGACTTGCGATGAGTCTGTTTCTCATGTTTTTCTTTCATGATTTCATGAGTATAAGCATGATTATGATTTGTATTGTGTAAATATGTCTTGTTTGCATTACATGATATATGATATAAACCTATGTGATATGTGTTATAAGATAATGATCTAAGTGACCATATGAAAGTGTTAGATGAACTATGTGATAAGAAGCTATGAGATTATATGACTATGTGATATAAGTCATAAGAATTGTGATAAATGGTAAAGACCATGTTATGTGATATGAGAGCTGAGGGTATAATTAGCATGCCAAGAGTCGAGGGTTCTAAGTGGTCCTTTGGGATAACTCTACGTGGTCATTCGAGACATATATATGGTCCTTCAGGACATTTTATGTGGCACTTCGGTGCATTTCTACGCGGTACTTCGATACATTTTAAACGAGATGTGGTGACAGCATTTGTACACAACCTCAATGCACTCACATACCTTAAGTTCTCAGCAATGTACCATGGGCTATTAAAAGATATAACATGAATCAATATTGCATAACATGATATGTTATTATTGATTAAATGCATGATAATGTGTATTTTGTTTATTTGATAAATGATAATTCTTATACATGATGAAAATATGTGAATACATGCATTATTATTATTTCGTTATATATATATATGCCTCACTAAGTATGTGACTTCGCGTGTGAATGTTTTACACGTAGGCTCAAAGAAACAAGGAGATTCAAGTTCGGACAAGCGGACAAGACATCATCGATCAGTTGAAGATCATATCATAATTAATTTAAGCAGTAGGTACTTTTGTTAAATGTTATTTTGTTGGTATGTAATCAAAGGCTTGAATTAAGTATGCTCTGAACGGTTTTGTAAATCTTTTTGCTTGTGTTTATATAAAGAAATTACTATTTTATTTAAATGAAGGGTTAAATTTTCAACTATTTTGTAAGATTAACATTTTGAAAAGTTAATGTGACACCTCAGATTCGTATCTAGGTCGGTACGAGTTGGGGTGTTACATTTAATTATATCAGAGCTAAGGTTTAGCCGATTCTAGGTATAAACCGACGTCAAAAGCGTTTTAAAAAGTTTACATGCCAACAAAATAATGAAGATTTCTGATCTTATAGGTAATGATTATGATGTCTTGCTAATAGAATACATTGGTTATATCTTGTTAGATGTCTGACCATGAGAGCTCCCGAAGTGAAGGGGGAGATGATAGACAAGAGGGAAGTAGCAATTCAACTGCTCTGGCCATGCAAGGTGAAGAACAATCACCTAAGGGAGTGCCTGTACAAGATCTAGGAGCTTTCTTTACGATGTTATACGTTATCCTGATGCGTTTTCAACCTCCTGGTCCTTCAACCATCAGGATGAATATAGTGAATGAATTGAAAGGACTAGGAGCTCCTGAATTTAAAGGTGAAGCATAGGAAGGTCCTTTTACGGAAGACCTCTGGTTGAATGATGTAAAGATAATGTTAGATGAACTTCACTGTTCTGAGGTAGAGAAGCTAGATGGAGTAGTTTCATTATTTCGTGGGTAAGCTAGATTATGGTGGACGAATGTCACCATGTGAATGACAAGTGACCAAGTGACATGATCATTGTTTTTGGAAGAATTCAAGCACAAGTATATAGGAGATTAGTTTATAAGGCAAATGAAGTAAGAGTTTATGAGCTTGAAGCAGTTGAATCGCACCGTATATGAATATGAGTGTGAGTTTAAGAAGTTAAGTCGTTTTGCTACCGAGCTTATTCCAACTGAAAAAGATATATGTGAATGGTTGGTTGAGAGCTTGCGCCCCTGATTGAAAGAAATGTTAATTGTCTTAAATATGTCCTCGTTCCAAGAGGTAGTCAACCGTGCTAAAGCTCTTGAGAGATCTCAAAATGAAAAGTTTGGAGAGTAAAAAACTCAGACATCTAAAAGAACTGGTGCTTCATCGAGTTCAGTAACATCTAAGAGGGGTATATATTTAGGGTTTTGATCTCACACAAGATCTGAGTCAACTGCATCCTCTGCTAGAGGATCAAATCTGATGAGAGCCAAACAAACTCAATCTGTAGGGGCTGGAACTGAGAGATCTAATCAGTGTCAAGCCAGACAGTGTCAACATTGTGGAAAGAATCATTTCAGAGTATGTCAGGTAGTCTCTGGAGCTTGTTTTCGATGTGGGGACACCAGACATTTTATCCGGGATTGTCCATTGATGGTGGGAGGGCCTGTACAATCGGAGCGATCTGCTTCAGTATCTCAGAGAGGAAGAGGTATATGAAGAAATCAGCCTGAATCCTCTACTCAACAGGAAGTACGTTCAACTGCTTGGGTATACAACATAAAGACCAATGAATATCGCGATGATCCAGAGATTATTGCTGGTATTTTTAAGTTACTGAAAAAGTCTATTTTAGTATTAATTGATTCGGGTTCCACTTATTCGTATGTCAGTAGCAAATTGGTGAATGAGTTGAGAATTCAATTAGAAACAACAAGTAGTGATGTGATAAAGACAAACCCATTAGGGCATAGTGCTCTGGTAAATCAGGTGTGTCGTGGGTGTCCCATAAGGATTCAAGGAATTGAATTCCCTGCTAATCTGATGGAATTACCCTTTGAGGAATTTAAAGTGATTTTGGGAATAGATTGACTGTATCATTATCATGTCAATGTTGACTGTAGATTGAAGAAGGTAACA